AAAACTCAAAATAGAGCTTCTCATCGATGCATCCAATTAATGATAGCTAAATGATGTCACAAAAATGAGACAGATAATTTAAATAAACCAGGAAGCTATATTGGAAAAAAAACCCTATAAGATGAGGTTTTCGAGTTACCGAAGCCTAGCTATTGATACGATGAGAAAAAAAAAGAAAAAAAGTGGATATCTTATTCAAGCCAACGTGGAACTATTACTGTCAAATGAGGAAGAAAAAAAAAGAGTCTGGTTATTTAGGTCTAGGACGAAAGAAAAATAATCCTTTGGCACTCTGCATTTACAAATATGGCTGCGATGAAAAAAAAAGTGTTTGTCCATTATATGGTAAAGATCCGGCGAAAACCATCAAAACCGTTGGCGATATCCATCCGGTATTTTTAAGTTATTATAAACTGCTATCAAATATTGATCAAGCAATTTTGTTTCGAGTAAATTGCACTCCACAGTTCTATACTTTTATGCTTTTATCAGTTTTTTTGACTAACTTTTAATGAAGAGTAATATATTTTGAAATGTTAAATTGCATTTCACATGCCATTCTGTAGTGTATGTTCCGATGGAGTGGAAGAATTCCACTTCGAGTTTTGTAGCAAGTTTGCATAAACGTTTAGTACGAAGCCATGACCTTGTGAAGATTCAAAATTCATGTTTGACCGATTTAGGTAGCTTTGACGGATGAACAACTTGAGAAGATGGCCGTTCCATCTGGAGAACTGATTGCAGTTGAAGGCACAAAATTGAAAATATCAAGAAAATTGTACAGTCATGCAGAAATGATCAAGAAAAATGCGCTTAGGCAAATTTTTTTACTGATTGTACTATGCGGGAATATAACTTTGTTTTAAGGAATAAAAATCATTTTGCTTACTGAACTTTTAGGCTTCATATACCTCGTGAACTAATAGAAGGTGATAAAAAACTAGCAGCAGAAAGAGACAAGCGATCATCATTGACTCCAGCTGAACCAGAAGAAAGTATGGTACATGGGAACGACGATCATGATGATACTGATCCAGACGACGATATACAAATCCTAGGAATTCCTGAACCACCTAAAACAAGTTGGTGCAAATACGCTATAAATTCAGTTGTGCATGTTTTTGTAAATGTTGTTTGTATATAGAATCTGTCATTCCATTACTTCTAAGATGTCTAGTCTGATATCTAGTAATATGTCTGATATCTAGTAATACCTGCTGAAAACATTGTTGTTGATTTTTCAATAAAAAAAGTTTGATGGCAGATTCTAACTAATGGTAAGCTTGTTATCCGTCTTGCGGTTGATGAGAATTGTAGGCAGATATATTCATAATTTTAGGCAAAGCTCGGTTAACTACAGCTGGTTCAAGTAAGCGCCGACATACTGCTGAAATGGAAGATTACCTGTACGGCCCACAAAAAACCGTTAAACGGATAAGAGCTGATCCAAAAGTTAGTTTGTATAAAACACTTGCTTACGTGGATCCTAGTAAGTCAAATATTTTCATTGATTGTGATGCACCGGAAATTCAAGATGTGATTGGTATGAATCTCAGCTGTTTTCAAAAAGCCACGCAAAAAAAGCATGCTAATCATTATTTTGTCTCAATAGCTAATCATAAAGAAAACATAACAAATTGTAGGTATCGATGTCGATTGTTTTGAGCGAAATATTTAACGATGTTCGCAGTGTCTTCGGTTGTGAAGAAATTATGTTTCCAGTTAATCCAAAAAAAGTAACACTTTATACATTTATCACTGATAAGCATTATTTTAATTCCAATTAGGCAATTATTTAAAACCTGCAGAAAAGTTTCAAAACGGGAGGAAATCAATACCGTTCCAACTAGCAAAATAAAATTAGGAAAGGAAAGAAATAGTTTAGAGTGGCTGAACGAGATAGATTCTGTAAAGATGTTATTTTTAAAAAACCGAGGACTCTACGAAGGGAGTGAAATTTATACTTTTTCATAATCATTTCGTTGTTTAGGTCCCCGATTATTACAACATTATAAAGGAACCAATGGATCTGCAACAGATCAAGAAGAAAATTTCTGAGAATAAATACGAATTGAGACGGCAGTTTCTGTATGATATCAAGCTGATAATGGATAATTCAATTCTTTATAATGGTGGTGGCCACCCTATCACAATTACTGCAAAAAATGTTAGTTTTCTGGAATTGGGAAATAAAAATGTTTCCTCGCTTTCTGTTTTCATTTATTTTTAATGTGAAAACAAATCCTAATACTAGGTATTTGAAATGGCATCCAGACATGTTGCTGAACGCGAACAGAAATTGATTGCTTTGGAGAAAGCAATTAACCCCTTGCTCGATGATAATGATATCATTGGTTTCTCATTTATACTGAATGAAATTGTACAGGAGTGTAAAAATATACCTAAAAGCGTTGCATTCCATTTTAAAGTTGACCCAAAGAAGGTCAGTTTCATATTTCGTCGCTTTCACTAAACTTTCAAATCAGTTCACCCGCATTTGTCTAGAATTGTTGTAAGGCTACACTACTACTAATGGAAGTAATTTGCAGATATCTATTGTCGCATTTTTTTAAAACTGGAATGATGCTTTCCTTTCCGTTTCACTGGACCGCTTGTAATCATTGTTAATTTTTCCATCATGCCCTCTTATTGCTACTGCATATTCTTGTGACTGGCAAGAATTGCTGAAACATTTTTTTGGTTTATCAAATAATTGAGTTTTTTAGCTGCCTCAATATTATGAAAAAATACATCAACCGATGGATTTGGGTACCATGCAGCAAAATATTAAGGAGCATCGTTACACCACTGTCGAAGCATTCCGAAATGATATTAAACAGGTTTCAATTTTTATTTACTTTCTTTCAGTGAAAAGAAAAAATGGTAATCATTTTCCAAATTTTATACAAAAATAATGAGCCGATTTTATTTTCCTAACTAATTTTAAGGCTTTGCAGATCAGACGGAACAGTGAACTGTATAACGGACCCCCAGAAACATCACAGTACACATCGAAAGCTGTTGAAATATGTACACTGGCCGAAAAGATGCTTGAGGTGTGTTTTCTATTATATCATTTCAAATTCAAGATTATATACTCTTTTTAATGTAAACAATGTCACTAAATGATTGCTACATTCATTCATCTTTGTTTACAACCGTTAAGCTACAGGAACGAAAGGAACAGTTAGCGGAACTAGAGATGAATATACAGTCAACATTAAACGAACACGTAGATCTCGAATCAAATGCAGCGAGTACTATATGCACTGAAGAAGTAGAGGAACCATCTCCGGGTTCAAGACCTGATGAATCTGAATTAAGACTGAATGAAAATATAGTCAAAATGGAACCAGGTCCATATTTAGCCAGAAACCTGTCTACATACCTTATTATCATGGGCTGAACAGTTGGTATTACAAGCAAATTTTGTTTATTTACTAAATTTTGTTTTTTAAAGGTAATTTTTGTATATAATTTAGATGATGATGAAGAGATGACACCAATGGGTAATCTGCAGGATGATCTTGCTTTAAGTGGTGATGATGACCTAGATGACGAAGATCAGGATTTAGGTATGCTTGCAGTGTATTTGGTAGTACCGCAGCTCTATATTTTCAGTTTTAAGTTAAGTTGTAATCTATCTCTTATTTGGTGTTATGAAAGTTTTTTGTGATAATTATTTCATAAGTAATTGTTGTAATTGTGTGAGATGGGTTTGATCTATAAATTTTAGAAATTTTTCAAATTTGATTTCTAGGCAGCAGTTGTGATGCAACAGGTGAAGTTAATAACCAGTGTGATGTGGAGAATGATTTGCTACAATCTCGAATGCATACTTCTGGTCAGCTGAACGCAGATCTAGCACTGAGCGATACTGATGAGGATGAAGATGAGCAGTTTTTGGAGGCAAAAAGACCAAAGCTAGAAGATCTTACTACGCTTTGATTACGTCACGGGGATAATTTTTTAAGACGAGAGCAAAAAGGTATCATTCTCTTTTTTGATTTAAGAGCTCATTTGATGTTTATGCATAATACTCATTCTTTATTTTTTGCAAACCTTGTTAGCATAAAATTAATCGAATGTAATTATAATTATGCAATCCCAAGGCGGGATGAGCTATGTTTTGGCCAGCATTAGTCAGCAATTACTCATAAAATATGTACACAGTGCTCAGATTTTGATACCTGACTAAGCCATTGGGATTATAAAATGAGAATGTATGGAAGGCTTTTATTTTCAATAACTTTTGAATTTCAGCTAGGTTCTTTGTATGGAAAATTTCGCCATAATAACTAGCTAGCTCTAGTGAGTTTCGTCGTCTGAAAATCCGTGCTAGAAACAGAAAAGATGAAGTTAATGCTCTAGTGATTCAAAGTGAAGAGCTTGGGGAGATTATATTTGCTGCTTATATGTTTTAGGAGGCATTGCTGTCTAAAATTGCATTTCTTTTTTTTCAGACTCATCCCTATCTTAAAGTTGTTCACAATATCCAGCAGAATGAATTCGTTGGTTGTTCTGACCCCGCGAATTTATATTATGGGTTTTGTTTCTGATTATATTTGGTGCTGTTCTCTTTTTTTTTTGTAACAGTAGAATTACTTTGATTACTGGTGTATAGTTATGCTGTTCTGCAGTAATTTTGTTCGCAGGTCCTTCTGTTTCTTGGAAAAGAGTTTTGCAACAAAAGTTTACAGCATCCCGTTGTTCAAAGAACATTGTATCTCCTTGTTTGTAGTTTGAATTTCCTGATCAGAGTGGGCAGTGACAATGAATCCCAGGGTTCTGCATCAATCATGTCACAAATTGGTTGTGAAGTATTATATTATTGTATATTCACTGTTGTAACAACAGTTAAGGCGATGTTTTTTGTCGGAATTCATTCTTTTTTTCTTCGAAATTCAATTTTGTAGAAAAGTCCTTTTGAAGTGTTCCATTTTTCTATTTCGTTCCATAGATTTATAGCATTTTCATAGCGGAAGTGTTATCTTTGAATTCAAAATTTTCGTCGAAGAAATCAACAGCTTTACAGCTTTCCATCACCATTGTGGCATGGTCGTGGTAACAATTCTACAGTGGAATAGTTTCGCTTTTCGATGGATATAAAGCTAGTTGGTTTAACCATATCTCACTGCTGCTTATAGTTTCTGGTTCTAGAAATTTCAATAAAGGAGTAAACACTTCTTTTTGCATTCATTCGGTACGGTACTTCTCATCCTGAATTGTTTATCCTTCCTTCATAGATTGGATTACGAAATGATTTTTGTGTTTGCGGTTTCCTCATCCCACTTCGAAATATGTATGCAGTTGCTCTTTTCATAACCGTAATCCACTAGGATGATCAAATTCTAATCTGATTCGTAGTGCCTTTGCCGAGAATTCTTGAGCGATTCTCGAGATTTGGAGCAATCAAAACATCATAAAATCCGGAAATCTAAGGGCAGTTTTTGTCCTGTTCTCATTTTAAGTATGTTTTTTATGCCTGCGCAGGAGTTCGATAAAGCTTTGTTCAGAAGTATAGAAGAAATCAATTCACGCACAGATATTAACGGAACAAAAAGACTCCAGGAACATTCTGTTCAGAACAAATCGTCAATTTTACGCTTTACAGATAGGATTTACGGCGTAGAGCGCCCCCTAAAGGTGTCGTTTTCTTGAGTTTTTGACGGTAACATATTGACTGAGGAAGTCAAATCAAAGGAGATTCCCATCGTGCTGCAATATGACGGTCTTTATTTTCATTACTAAAAGTGAATATATATTCAGGTCGAAATTTCACTGATTCTCATTGCGGTAAAAGACCTCTGAATGGGGATGATTACCAAGTTTATTTAATATAATTCTGGTAGAATATATAATTAGTTTGTTTTCTTTTGATGAACCGTTATATGGCCTTTATGTAATATGGATCATTTTATCTGAATTATGTTCTTTTCGTTGTTGAACATGCAATATGAGACAGTAAAGTTTTTTAGTTAATATTTTCACTATTCCCACTAATTTTTTTAAAAATCATTTCCTATGTACAAAAGTAAAGTGGGGGGTGAAAAGTTAGTGAGTTTGTGTAGTTTTATAAGCAATGAGATTTTCACTGAATGGAATGACCTCTTTATCATTCTAAAGTAAATGGTTTCTTCAAATGTTAGATGCCCATTTCCGAGAACCCATCGTGAAGAAAGCAGTGTCTGTCAATCGTTTTATCGATCCGTCAAAATCATGCTTACTCCTTTTATTTGAAAGGGCAAGTACCCAGTAAGCTCCTTCATCTCACCGATAAAATCTTTCTTCACTGTTGTACTTTTTTAAGCAGTTGCGATAACTTCTATAGCCTTCTTTTCATGGTGCCATTGGAATCAATGGGAATATCCTTAGCAGTGTTTCAGTTTGTTTTGTGGCTTGATATGATCGAGCATCATTCACTATTCTTCTATCTCTTTATCGCATTTCCCACTTTCTGTCTCAGCGCTCCCATCGATTATTGTCATGAATCTTTATTGTATGGCATCTAAAACTGTCCCCCTGATTCTTGATTTAGCTATTGTGAAACTGACTTTTTCTCCGCCTAATTTAGACTCAGATGCGCCATCTTTCATTCCCTAATGCCTTGTCATTTATATTTGTCCTACTACTTTAAAGTAGAGATGTTTCTATTGATTGTATTTGTTTGTCAAACTGGACAGTGAAACTCTTCTGACTGTCAACGTAGCAGTCGGCGACATGTAAAAACACAGTACTGAGATAAATTGTCTGGTGCTTTCGGGTAGAAAAAAAAAAAGAAAAAGAAACCAGCCAGCAATTAAACCAAGCACCCAACAAAGTACAGAAAACAATAAAATTTGCTACTTTACATAATTAGTGCAAGATAAACGATCATTAGAAGGGCACTAAGGACGATGTGTAGTACACCACTCAGCCTTTTTTGGTCCCAGAACCAGCTTATGATCGAATGTCATGCACAGATTATTAAAATATAAAATCCATTTGAAATGATTTTACTGATCTTAGTTTTAGCATTTTGTAATGTATGCTTTTCCTTTTACAAATACTCAGTAAAAATCTTGGAAGAATTAGAGATCTGTTAAAAATTTATTTTATGGAATCAATATTGACCGTCAAGAACACATTTAAGTTGTGTCGAAGTATGCTAGTATTTTTTAAGAACTTTCAAGTAAGCTAGGAAGACATAGCTACATATTGATTAATAGAGGCTGGATGGTCTAAGTCAGGGTTGTCTAGATCAGTTGTCTTACTTCCAATCTGTCTGCTAAATGCTAGGATATTTTCGTGTTTTTATCGATATTCAAATCTCTTTTAGTATTGTTGGTTTTGAGAGTTGTTCTCAGGAATATTGATTATTATCTATAGGAGATTGAAACCGAAATGACATTGAAGTAAAAAGATCTCTTGGGTTTCTGCATAAGATTAACGCAATGCTTGTAGTGTGAGCGCATGTGCATATTGAAATAAAGCTCCTAGTAAATGGATAAGTTAAATGTCAGTAAATGAAGACCGGTTTTTTCGTATACATCCAGTACTTGGGTTTTTCTGATTTGGAACATGTGCTATGGGCGGGCGTGTCCGTCCTCATGCCAAGTTATACACTTTCAAGAATTTTAAGGAGGACGAAAAATCGATAAATTTGAAAATGCAGCATTGAAAAGAATGCTGTGCTGGTGCTGCTGGTGGCCATTCCGTTGCTGTTGAGAGATGGAAATGGATGAACGATAGGCGATGTGGTACTCGCAATTATCATTTCTCTTTATTGTCCCTAATTCCTTTCTTTTTTCATCCTTTCCCACTATTCTACACATTTATCTTTTTAAATAAATCATTATTTCAGGAACAAATCATTATTTATTTATTTTTTATTATTTCTAATCAGACGAAAATTCACATTCACCACGGGATCATACTTCATTACTTTAATCCTTCTCATATTCATATTTTTATTGTTGCTTGGAAGAAATCAAATTTCCAAATTGGTCTTGTTCTCAACAATTTAACGTGAGGAATCTTGAATGATTCATGACTCAACTCCGAAATCTCCAAAGATTTCCTTATGTCTTTTTAATTTTCGTAGGACTTTTCTATAAGTTGTTTTCAGAAATGTTTGCTTTCTTTGTTTTATGAATGAAAGTATGTATTGTTTTGACTTCACAAAGTTCCACTATACATTCGCTTAATTGTTCCTGCAGTATTTATTAATTAGGTCTTTATCTGCATTTCAAGTTTAACTCCGTTTTCAGGCCATCTCATCCGATCTTATTACATAAATGAGGACATTGTCATCTACAAGTGACCTTAAATAGTGAGTATATTTCTCTGGCTTAAACGTAAGATAAGTTTCAGTTTGTTGGACTCGTGAATTATTATGGTACGAATGATCTTGCGTACGATCGTAATGTGATTCAGTTTAGTAAAGTTTTGTGATACGATGAAGTTGCATCCTTTATGAAGGAAGTATTCTGTTAAATCATCTCATCTTGTGTGACTGTTCTGATTAACAAGATATTTGATGTCGAGTGTTAGAATTCACATCTTTTGGTAATGATAATCTTGAAAAACAACTACGTTTTTGAACACTTGGTTGTTTTTAGGTATTTTACTGATTGGGCATAGGTTCATGTAATTTCTGCAATATGTTCGGTTTGTGATGCAGCTCTCCTCAGCTGTTATTGATCTTTTTTCTTCCAGGTAAGCAGGACAAATACTACAATAATGGCTGATGTAAGGTCCCCAGCTGATAGTCCCTCAAAGCATATTACTGTTGTTGATGTTTACGATCTGGCTGCTTCAATCGGTAAAGATTTTGAACGAATTATTGATGAGTTTGGTAATGATAGTGTACGACGAATTATGCCCAAGGTAATTATGTCCAAGTAATTATGCCCAAATTTTCTTTATAAATTTAATCTGGTTATTCCTTTCAATTTAAACAGTATGACAGTATTGTGACTGAACTAGCTTTTCACTGTTTGCATCATATTTCTCGTTTATCACTTTTAAATACATGCCAGTATGAAGTCATGTCTTAAAGAAGCTTCAGCTGAAATCAAATTATGATTTTAAAACCTTGAATTACCAAGAACTTTGAAATTACAAAATGAATGGAAATCGCAAAATAAACAGAAAGGGAATACTTTCATTATATATGTAGATTTTGGAGGACCTTTCATTATCGCAGAACATATAAACTTCCGTCATAGAAAGGGGATCTTAAAATCTGTGGTTGCAGTTTTTACTCCGGGAAATAATTTATTTATTTATATGTAATCGCTACTCAAACATTTATAAATTGCTCCCAATATAATATCAATTATTTTGTCAAATGTTCTCCTATTGTTCAAAAAGTTCCATTTATTGGAAAAAAAATTGGTTAGATGAATGGAGTGACAAGGTAGTATTTCCTCAGTATTTCTTCCTGGTGTTTCAAATCAGAGCAGTCCTCTAAAAAAAAAATCTTGGTTATAGTAATGGATCTGATTAAAAAAAAAATTAATGAAAAAAAAACCTTGGTTATAATAATGCATTACATGACTTGCTTTTATAGTATATTTAGCGGGGAAGAAAGAAATTAGGAATGAGATTTCAGTTGTTGAACAGCATCGGATGTTATGGCGTATATAGGGAGGAAGCTGGTAGAATGGCTTCATCGATGTTTTTTATCAGCTATATGCGGTATTAAAAAAAAGTAGTTAGTTGGGAAGTTAATTTTAATGTGTAAGTGGAGAAAGTATGAAAGTAGTGAAGAAAGTATCTTAATATGTAAATGTAAGTGAAGAAAATTTTAATATGTAAGTGAAGAAAGTAATTAGTTAAGCGAGGGATATATACCGGCGGGATTTATCGTGCATGCGACATTTTAGTTCCTTTATGACCAGTGAATTCCAGATAAAAAAAAATGTATCAATAAATTTATTGATCCAAGTCGTTTTTTTTTAAAAATTTCACTGATTATTTTAGTTACTGGTTTTTCCTTGCTTAATTTATCATAAAGCTTAGGTGATAGATTTTTAAATCACAGTTTTCCTCTTTTTCTGCTTTTATTGCTGTTTGTTTTTTACATTATGGTTTTTATTATTTTAAGTGATGGCCTGTCTATCTAATTGCTGCTTGGAAAGTGTTTTATGGCATAGTGTAGTGTAAAATAAAAGCTTATATCATTTTGTTTAAGTGGTTACACATTTTTACATCTTAAACATTTTCGTTTTACTTCATTCGCTTTAGAGTTCTTTAACTTCAGTTTTGCCATTGAAAGCTAATGTTACTGTGTCACTGTTTGCAGGTAATCTCGGCACTCGAAACGCTCGAATCATTTGCCAATCATAATGAAAAAGAAAATGAAGAGATTTTGATGTTGAAGAAAACAGTTGAAAGATTGGAAAATGAAAAACAGATGAAACAGCAAGACCGGATCAAATTTGAATTGGTGGTCATTTTGTTTTTAGTAGTAGTGGAGCTTTTTGTTTCGATCTATTTTTACAATGTGGCTTGTTGATTGAAGAAGCTTAAGTTCCATCCACTCTTGTAATATTATCTCTTTTAATTATTCCAAATACGAAGTGACATGAGAAGTAAACGCCTAGTTCAATTTGCCACACGAAACATTGGAAAACTTGTTGTTACAACTGCTTATATGAGATTCTAAATTAACTGTTATTTTGTGTTAGGGACGATATCAAAATAGTGTTTTTTTTACAGTCACCTAAATATTCTTTTATTGAATTTACCTATAATTGCTCTTTATCTTCTCATCAGTTCTTTCTCTTCTATAACGCTAGTGACAATAGGAAGTTTCACTGAATTGTGGGTCCTGTTTTTTATTCCTAATCCTGATTTTGCTTTACGCCTTTCTCACGTTCTAGTCAGTCTGCTGGGTCTGAATTGCTTTTCTCCTCTTCATTCTTCTAGAGAGAAATCATAGATGGATTTCAATTCATCATATTATATACTATGTTAAATATAATGAAAGTAACATCAAAAATTGTAGGAATTGGAAGCAGTAGAAGAGAATTATCGGAAGGAAATCGATGATCTGTGGTCGATGGTAAAGAATTTGCAATTGGAAAACAAGCATTTATCATCAGCAACAGGAGATGACGCTTCAACGCTTAATTCTATGAGTATTTTTCTTTTTCAGAATTTGCATCTTGTAAAAGTTTGAACAGATTATCTGTTTTATCAGTAGTGAAAAATTTTGACAGCGATAACGATGGCAGTGACAGATAAATATTTCATATTTATTCATTGTATCTGGAACATCGCTAGAAAGTCCTTTTTCTCCTTTTTTTTTTGTACCTGGAAAGATGGGCGAGACTCTTGGTTTAAAAAAAAAAAATCCAGTAATCATTCATTTTTTCATCGGTGTTAATAAGTGCCGTTTTCTCTAGGTTCCATCAAATTTTCAATGCGTAGTAAACCTTTTTTT